ATTAGATCGTGTCATGCACCACGATCAACCGCCTTCGATTCCCATGATCTGCAATCAAGATTAGAACGTGTGAGGTTCCCTTTAATCATGTCCTGGTAACGTAACTTTGGTTTCCCAGCATGCCGCTTCCCTATACTCAGCTGAACGTACAAAAGTTGTTTCGGTATTCGCGTCGAATCCATACGGCTCACATGACCGAGCCATCTCAGGTGTCGCAGTAAAAGTATGCCGTCCACTGCATACATCCCACTTCGGCGCAACACTTCCGTGTCTGCAACTCTGTCGCCCCAGCCGATCCGCAAAATTCGTCGCAGACACTGCTGATGGAACCGCTCGAGATATCGCACATCCCGACGGTACATCGTCCACGTTTCACTGCCGTATAGAAGAACGGACAGTACCATGGATTTGTACACCATCAGCTTCGTGCCAACGCTAAGCTGATGGTTGTTCCACACTCGGTACTCAAGCTTCCCGAATGCCGCTGCCGCCTTCGACACGCGATTACGCAACTCAACGTGTAGCTGCTGATCAGTCGACATCACACTCCCATATATATATATATATATATATATATATATATATATATATATATATATATATATATATATAAACAGTCTATAAGATAGACATAGAGCCGGCGAAAACCCAGAAATGGAATTAAAAAATAGAGACCACAAAGAGGAAGGAAAGGATGAAAGTTACAAGTAGGCTTTTTGTTTTGGAATCTTATTTGTCTTTTGGTTTTTCCCACGCCGTTTTATCATATTTTGTCTGTTTGATATCTGTCTGTTTTCTGTTTAATGATGGAAATCAGGAGAATCAAGACGAAGATTCGTACACATTTTCTATTGGGCCCTGTTCTACGCCATCGCCGAAAGAGTTTCCAACCAGCGATATTCCTCCTATTTGATCCTACTCAGCTCGGAAGACGCACAAAACCTACGACAGCTAAACTGGAAGTCAGCGCTTTAATCGTTTGTCGCCACGTGATAGGCAGACCACCGCGCGATTTATTCCAGTCTGGTCCTGTACGAGTGAAGAGATTCCGCTGGGGCAGCCGTTCCGTATAGCATGCGGTAAACGTGGACCAGCCATCTCAGCTGGCGCAGCGGTACCAGTCTGTCAAGTGGAAGTCCCGTGTTAGCCAAGACGCGATGTCTAACATCATCGTTGCGCATGTGGTTGATCCACCACACTCGAGCTTTCTCCGCAGACATCCATTGTCAAAGGTCGAACTCCGACGTATCATGTATACCAATCGGCCAGGATTCACTCCCATCCAGCAGCCCCGCGCGAACACAGGGATTGTAGACCCTGTGCTTTACTACTAGTGAAACATCACGGCGTCGCCACAGATGCCTCAAGTTGGCGAACGCTGAACAGACTTTGGCAATGCAGATGGAAATCTCTTTTCCAATGCTACCATCAGCAGAGACACAGCTTCCTAGGTAAGCAAAGTTGTCCACTGGTTCAAGCTACATACCTTGAAGAGTGGGCATTGGTGCAGGTGGATACCAATTCAGGATCAGAACTATGCATTTCGTAAGTGCGAAGGTCATGCAATATTATGATGCTTCAATCGCCAAGCGGTTTTGAAACAGCGTGTACGTCATTACCAGGCAAGGCAATATCATCAGCATAATCTAAATCGGTCACGTGGTTGTCAGAAAGAAGCTTTACGCCGGAACTCTGAAAGCCCTCGAGAGCGTTTAAAAGGACATCATCGATCGCAAAAAGGAAGAGAAACGGGGACATGGGGCAACCCTGTCGTACACCGCTAGTGACGGCAAAAGGTGAAAAGAGCTTACCGTAAGCCCTCATTTTACCTGAGACGTTGCAATATAATGCTCGAAGAATGACGATATACTTTTCGGGTAATCCATTCCTTTGTAAGCAACGTCATAAAGCTGGCCGATCGGCGGAGTCGAAAGCGGCTCGGATGTCCAGAAAAATAACGATAGTGAGCTGGCAGTAAGGATGACGCGTTTTAAGAAGTTGGTGTAGAGTAAGCAAATGGTCTATACACCCTCGACCGGGGCGGAAACCAGCTTGTTCTTCACGGGAGAACACTTCTCGAATCGGGGTTAGTCTGCGGAGTGAAATAGATGTTAACAGCTTGGAGGCAACGGACATTAGACTGATTCCTCGGTGATTAGCGCATAGGGTACGGGCACCTTTCTTGAAGATTGGGACGATAATTGACTCGCCCCAAGCGGATGTAGCTGTTTCTTTAGACCAAATCTTAGAGAACAGAGCTGTTAGCTGGTTGACGATTGCTTCACCACCGAACTTGAACAGCTCCGGAGGAAGTCCGTCTGGACCGGAAGACTTGAATCACTTCAAGTGTCGGAGCTCATGGCAGACGTCCGCTTCCATGGGTGGTTCCAAGGCGCGCAACTAGGTATACTCATTAGGCTCGCCAACGGAGGCCAACTGAATTGAGTGCGGAAATGTTCAGCCCAGCAGTCCATCCGCCTGCGTAACAAGTATTAAACAATCGTCCCTTAGTAGCACTGACAAACAATAGTCGCGACGAGCTCCCTCTGAATCAGAAGAACCTTCCTTTCTCGCTCCGTGATTGGACCATCAAGGATTGGCCAGTGCCTTTGCTAATACTTTCACATATCTATTGTGTGTCCACTTGTCCTCTGGCCATCTGGTTTGAACAACAGTTTCTCCCTGTTAGGTAAATGCATTTTGTTGTTGACGGTGTTATACTGAGATCCTTAAAAATTAAGGTTCACCCAATTTTCTCGACTGTATTTAATGCAATAGTATGTAATGGTTGCGATCCAATCATGTTCTGCTTTTAAGACCATTGGCTACGCGTTATTTAACGTTTGACAGATGAACGTTACATTATCATCTGCGACGGTCCGACCATACAGAAATTGTTTTTGGAATTCATTGTATTGCGTGAGCAGGATACTGTCAGATTGCTCAGGCCTAGAAGGGAAAATGATTAGGGTTCTCAACCAAAGCCTTTGGTACAAAAACCTGACCGCGAGGCAGCGGAGTTTTTTGCACTGGGCTACAAAGAGTCCGTTTTGAAGAATAAGGAGTCATCCTCACTCCAAACCTAAACCTCGAGAGCCAGGACGCTGAGTTTGTCTGGCATCCAACGACTGACCTATATGGTTTGAGTAGCTAAAATGCAAGAAGTACCACCCAGCAGTTCAGTTTAGTTGAACAACTATGATCCGAGCACCCAAGTGCGGTGGATCCAGTTGCCACGATTCACATCAGCAAAATGACAGTAAGTAACACCGGCAAGATAGTGGGGCTAAAGGGAAATAGAATGTAAATAAAATGGAAGCAAGAGGGAAGTGCGTTAAACTAATCAGAATGGAACAAAAATTAACAACCAGATACAAGAAACCAAATGCAAGAACGCTACTAACTGTGCGACAGCGCCATGTCTGATCCGGTCTCTAATCATTGATGTGGACCCTCCCGAGGACCCCATCCACGAAGACGGCACGCACCAGAAGGATCAAGTCTCTCAGTTAGTTTTGCATGGCTCTGACACGTAGTGGACTGGCCACCTCGTGGTTTCACCCAACTTTGTGCAGCCACGGTGTATAATGCACGCCAAGGAAGCCGGTCAATGTGCATACGGATAAGATGGCGTAGAAAACGTAACCAATTAAGATTCAGCAAGCACTCGAGAGGCACCAGAAGGCTTCTTGCCAAAAACCAACAAGTGGACCTCAGCATTACTCACCCCGTGTTACCACTAGACGTGAGCAATACTCCGCTAGCACCGGTGGTTAAACACGGCAAAGCGTTTAATATCTTCGCCGCGAATTGGCCAGGTCCTGATCCACACAGTCAGATCGGCCTTATCGGAGCCTTATACACCATACCTTTCACTTACAGACTGATATCCCGCCGTCCCCATAGATGGTTGAGTCTCTGGAAAGCCACACGGGTCTTGCTGATGGGTGAAGTAATTTCCTCAGTGAAGTGATCATCAGAGGGGACACATACCAAGGTAAGTGGACCGACCTATTACTTCCAGTGGTTGTTCGGTGATAGTTAGAACCGTGTGTGTCGGTCCGATCCAGAAGCAATACTTTGCACTTTGAAGGTGCAAAGCACATGCCGAAGCGTGCGATGCTACGCGATAGTCTATCCAGCAGTGTTTACATAGCCACTGCGTCGAACCCAAGAAGAGCTCAGTCGTCCGCATACTCTAGGTTTGTCAGTCGGCCACCTGAGAGAATTTCCACTGTGGTAGAGTATGAAAGAACGGAGTTACTCATGATCATGCCGATAACAAAGTTGAAGAGGAAAGGAGCTATAGGACAACTCTAGTGAACCCTACTTGTCTTGTACTCAGGAGACAGTTTCCCGTAGACCCTTACACGGTCTCAGGAGTCATGGTTAAGACTTAAGAATGGAAAGGAATTTAGCCCGCACGTCCTTCATGTATAGGCAATGCCACAAGCGGGCGCCGTAAACAGAGTCGAGGGCAGCTTGCAAGTCAAGGAAAATCACCCATCACAGCTCAGTGGATTGCTGGGGCACGCAAATCTTCGCATCACGATAAAATCCAACCCGTTTGCGATGGATGTGGTTGAAGTTGTCTAGGTCTGGGCTGCCTGGCTGTATCAGCCCACGTACAATCATGACTATAATTATCGGGAAGGATAACCGCAAGTGACCATAAGTGTACGGTAAGTTTATTAGCGTGAATCGACCAAGCCCGCTAAGAACAGTATAGACTAAAACATTGTGATCGAATCTGTACAGAAGCCTTGCAGGAGAACAAGAGTGACATCATCTATGAGTACCTGCTGTCTCTTGTTAAATATAAAACTGACCGAACCTGGACGAGAGATGAATATAAGCTAACACTGGGGATAAGAATGAAGATTAGGCATCGCGGGAAGCACGAACCCAAGTGAGGTGAAATTTAACAGAACAAAAGGCTACCAAAATATAATGGATACTTCCAGAGCTATGAGAATGACTTGCTGGCTACGTTGGCTTACCTGCATGTGATTTGCGGCGGCACGTCAACTAAGAAGTACAAATCCAGTATGTAAATCAGTCACGTCTTCGAGGACGATAAAAGCTTTCATTTAACGACAGTTACATTTCCTGGGCCAGCAGGACTCCAACAGTTCGATATTTGAATGGTTGCCTTTCTGCAACAGAAATGATTGAGAGCAACTGGCTACTTTAATGACACTGCTCTAGACGTCATCCTTCGACACTTGATCGGACTCAATTGAAAAAATGGTAAATATCTTTTCCTATACCAGCTGTACTTACTCATTTTTAAGTAATTTTTGAGATTATATGGGACCAATTGAATAAGCCAAGGTACATGTGCATACAGTTTTGCCGCTACATAGTGCTCGTGTCATCTCCCCGAATGTAGAATCACAAATGAATTCACATTTCTCTGCTCACGATTCTCGCCCACTGGATTCTCTCTCTTTGGCCGAGGCGTTGGCGGTCGGACATGCTAAACCTAACACTACCGCACCGCAAACTATCGTCTTCGTTCCATTTTTATTCATCGCTCATGTTCTTGGCAACCCCCTCCCATTTCGAGTCTCCAAAATGCATTACAAATATAAACGGTACCTTTGGCCTCATCAATGAACAGCTCAAAACCGACTATACATAAACCAATTCCAACAGCAAGGCTTTATTGCACCCCGCTCGCTCTTCAAGTTATCTACATTCAATGTTCGAACGCCTATGCAAGTTGGATCACAACCTGCCCTTGCGCGCACCTTGGTAACTCTCTCCATCGACGTTAGCTGCCTAACCGAAACCTGTTTACAGGATTCCAGCACAACGCTGCGAGTGGTCTCATCATCCTCAGGTTCCGAGTGAACATTCACCTTGCACTTATCTGGAAATGCGACAGCGGCAGCCTCTGGTTGCGTCGATGTAGGAGTTGCGTTAAGCGCGCGTGCTGTGGCGGCGCTCATTGTCTGGTTCCCGGTCAACAGCAATCTTTGTGCAGTCCGCTTGGAAAGCTCAATGCAATCTTCCAGCCAAGAGACAAGTAGACGCTGCTTATTCATTGTGCTGGCGTACGCTCCTACGGACTGCAGTCCGCATGAAGCTAAAGAAGAGTTCTACCGCCAACTCACCGACGTCCGCAAGAAAAGCCGCATGGACATCGTGGTACTCGCCGGAGACCTAAATGCGCAGGTCGATAGACTCGAGGTTCATGAGCGCGAACTTGGGGTCAACACAATCACGGTACTCGCAAGACGGACAACGGCGATCGACTCCTTCAACTGTGTGCCGACCACGGCTTGTTCCTTACGAACACCAATTTCCGGCATTCCTGGTGCCAAGGAGCCACCTGGCGTCCTCAAGCGCCTGGTCAAGCTTGGACGCTGATTGACCACATCGCTGTAAGTTTGCCGTTGGCGTGGCTGCATAACGGACTGCATGTCAATTTGTAACACCTACCTGACTTCTGATCATGCGCTCCTGTGTGCTAAGGTCGTTCTGCGCTTTAGAGGCACCCAACAGCGTCGCCGGAAACGGCTTGACACAGACAAGCTCGCCGCCCCAAATGTTCTCGGTGCATTTCAGAACACATTAGACTCCAACCTGCGTTCTCTATCCTCCGATGTTGAGACACACTGGGCACACATTCACAGCGTCTTACGAAAATCCGCTACCTTGGTCTGTGGCATCACTGGACGAGCTGCTAGTTATTGGATACCCACACAGTCTCTCCAATTAATGAAAGGCCGTCGAACAATTCCCGCAGGAGTTTAGTACAATGCACTACACAGAACCAAAGGTGCTGAGCTCGGACAGCATCCCAGGAAGCATCGCGAGGTCTGGTGGACACAACGTCACCATGAGATGGAGCGGCAGCCTCATCAGGAAACCCGCAAACTCTTCCAATCTATTCGGTCCACGGGAGGCAGAAGGCCAACAGTGAGGTTTTGCGTGAAAATGGCGGCGAACTAATGCACAGTCGTCAACGTCGTCTGGTACGATGGGCAGAGTACTTTGAAGATCAGTTCAACAAGCCCACAGCACAACCGAGTCCGTCTTCTGGGATTTACAGTGCATCATCATCATCATACACGTTAGCTAGAAGTGGGGAACACCTCAGATACTGTGCCGCAATTCACAGAAAAAAGGAGAAAAAATGCAACTGGTGCAAGCCGGCTGAGCTACCGGTAACGGATGGGCATCGTTCCGGTAAGGTACCAGCCGGCTACTGTGCATCAAAAAAAATACTATGCGAAATTATATAAAGCTAAATAATGAGATCGTGGTTGGAGGGGGAGGCTAAGAGGGATGGGGTGGGACAAAGAAACTCACAGCACGAACGACACTGAGATCGGCTCCTAGCCATATCAGCAAGTGTGTCCAACCAAACGTGTTCATCGTCTTTTGGACCCCAACCAGGGAGCCGAGACGCTCCAACCGAGGCCAGCTCAGAAGTGAGGGCCTTCATTCCTCTCGACCAAGTCATCGCTTGGCCACCCCACTTCTTCTTCCATCCACATCCCCGGCGCGCAAACAATGCACGTCGCGGGAGTCGGTGGGCTGGCATGCGCAACACGTGGCCGAGCCATCGGAGCCTGGTGCGGGAAATAACGGTGCTGAGCGGTTCATTTCCATTTCCTGTGCCGTAAACAAGGCGTCGAACACGCTTGTTGCTCACGCGGTGTTCCCACCAGATGTGAGCTAAATTACGAAGGCACCGGTGGTCGAACGTAACTAGCCTCTTCAAGTCCGCTGCTTTAAGCGGCCAGGTTTCACAACCGTACAGTAGGGTCGAACGTACTGCTGCATTGTACACTCTACCCTTCAGGGCAAGAGTGATGTCGCGCCGGCGCCATAAGTGTCGAAGGTTAGCAAAAGCGCCCCGAGCTTTTGCTATACGGTTCGTGATCTTATCCTCAATCCCACGGGCGCTGATACAACTTCCCAGGTAGTTGAATTTTTGAACGACTTCTAGCTGATCCCCACCAACGGTCAGCGTAGGAGGCGGTCCAGTCCAATCTTGGAGGAACACTTTGCACTTCGATGGTGCGAAGCAAAGCCCGAAGTGACGGACAGCTAGTGCTAATCTGTCCAGTGCCGCCTGACACGTTTGTGAGCTGGCATAGATTAGGGCAATATCGTCAGCATACTCTAAGTCAAGAAGTCGTTCTCCTGGGAGCAGATCCACACCTTCTAAGTCGTGTCCTGTGAACGCGATGTCCATGACTTCGTCAACAGCGAAGTTGAAGAGGAAAGGTGACAGCGGGCATCCTTATCTCACGCCGCTGGAGATATTAAAGGGCGACGACAACTTGCCGTAAGCCCTCACTCTGCCCGAGCTACGCACATATAATGCTCGGATAATATTCACATATTTCTCAGGTACACCTTTCCTGAGTAGACAGTCCCAAAGTGCATGTCTATCCACCGAATCGAATTTACCTTTGATATCGAGAAACACGACAACGGTGGGCCGCCAATATATGTGACGGTGCTCCAACAACTGACGCAAGGTGAAGATGTGGTCAATGCAGCCACGACCTCGACGAAATCCAGCTTGCTCTTCACGAATCTGGCTTTCACGAGTGCCAGACAGTCTGTGAAGGATGACAGAGGCAAGCAATTTAGAGGCAATCGAAATCAAACTGATTCCTCTATGGCTGCCGCATTCCGATCGTGAGCCTCCTTTGAAAATTGGGACTATGACGGAGCGGCTCCAATCGGTTGGGACAGTTTCCTGCTCCCACAGTTTGACTAGTAACTCGTGTAAATCATCCACAAGAGCAGAGCCTCCGAATTTGAAGAGGGCTGGAGGAAGATCATCAGGTCCCGCGGCTTTATTTAACTTCAACAGTTCGATTTCTGAGCGAGAGGGTGGATCCAAAGGGACAGCCCACGGAGCGGGGCGATCACTGGCCGGCGAGAAATCTAACCATTCCGACCGATTAAATTGCCTTTCAAATTGCTCAGCCCAACGCTCTAAGCGTTTTGATAAGTTGTGGATAGGCTGTCCACTCTCGTCACAAATTGTTTCACTAACACCAGGTCTTCTGCTGCCCGTTTCCCGTATCAGAGGGAATAACTTACGATGGTTACCACGGGCAGCGGCCACTTCCATCTCTGTTGCACGACGAGACCACCAGGATTCGCGGTCTCTCTTCAGGCTAGCACGGAGTTTTTCCCGGAGCTCTTTGCGAGTTTCATTGTGTTCGCTTCCAGTCGGAATATGCCGGCGAGCATCTATAAGTTCCAGAGACTGTGAAGAGACCCAATGTCCATGTTGGTGATTAGACGTACCACACGAGGATTTGCCTGCTGCTAGTAAGGTCTGGTGAATATGAGACCAGTGAGCTTCAGTTGCATCCAGTGAGCGCTTATTCAACTCGCAAGACAGCATACTTCGATACGCATTCAGAACAGCTGGCTTCGCCAGTTGGCTGGTGTCAATGCGCTCACAGCGTCGTCGTGGGCGTCCGCCTAAACGCATCCGCAGGTCCGCACATACAAGTGCATGGTCGGTGTCCACACATGTGCTCCAAATCGAGCGACAGTTCTGGACGCAGCCTCTCCATCGGTAACTTATCGCAATGTGATCGATTTGCGTCCAAGGCTGGTTCGAGGCTGTTGGGCGCCAAGTCACCCTCCGGCGGGTGCTGTGTCGGAAATTAGTGCTCGCAAGAAATAAGCGAGCATCCTCACACAAATGAAGTAACCGCTCACCGTTATCATTACGGGAGCGTACACCATGTTGGCCGCCCAGATGCAGCTCATCTGTGGATAATTTTCCAACTTGAGCGTTCAGATCCCCAGCCAGCACAACAGTGTCCGAGCTTCTTCTGTGGCGAAGGAGCTCGTTCAGTTGACGATAGAAGTCGTCCTTCGCTACAGTTTGTCGGTGCATATGCAGATTTACAGTGCTCCCTGGTACGTTGATGTTTCTTCACCGATTGAGGCTGAGGTTTCCTATGAGTTTATCCTACTAAAACGCCACAAATCTCCTGGCCCAGATGAATTCCCTCCTGCCCTCTTCAAATATGGGGGTCCTGCTTTCTCGTGACCTGACATCTTCCCTCAGAGTTGGACTACTGAAACCATCCCATCCGACTGGAAATTAGCGGATGTTGTACCTGTGCACAGAAAAGGAGATTGGACCGTTTGCTCCAACCATCGTGG